CTGTCTAGGCGAAAAATGTACATAAAAAAAAAATAGAATGTTGAAACCGAAATCGAAATCCATGGCTTAGTTTGGAAGGAATACAAATACAAATATATAGAGTACAAAACTTTGTATTTTATATCAATTTGTATTATTTGTACTGTACATATTTGTATTTTCATTTCTTTCAAACCGAGCCTTGGAATCAGAACTACAAATTTGGTTTAGATGGGAATCAAAATTGGACTCCATAAGATATGCAGATTCCCAAAGAGGGTTGGCGTCAGGTAAATAGAAATAGAATTAGGGAGATTTATAAGTCACTCTTTTTTTTTGGGGGGGGGGGGTATTTGGAATATTGAGATTATTGTTCCCAAGGGGGAAGGCCAGAATAGCCATTCCTTCAAATGGGGGAATGCCATTCCAACTTCAATTGTATACCCTTATTAACCAAACAAACCCTTAGATTTTTCTTGTATTAATTATCATTGAAGAAGGTTTAAATCATAAATAGAAATGCCTTAATGCCTTTTAACAAAAGAATAAAAACTCTCCATTTCCATCTATATTTGTTGTGTTACTTGAGCCTCATTCATTTTTCTTTTGGCCAATTACCCGAATAAGTGTATTTACTTAAGCTCCATTTGGTTTGTGGGAAGATTTGGGTGGGATGGGATGGGAAAGTGTAAAAAATTACACTTCCATTATTTGGTTTTATATATGGAAAAACATTGTTACGAGGGAGAAGAGAGAAGAGAAAGATGGAGGGAGAGATAGAGAACTCCATGAATGAAGCTTTGATTTGTGTCTACGAATCCAGATCTAAGTTCTACCATGGCAGAAAACCCAGGAAGATGGTGGTTACTCAGGAAGGTGGTGGTTACCAGGAACCTAGATCTAAGCACCGATTTGTGTCTCCGAACCCGGGAAGATGGTGGTTGCCAGGAACTCAGATCTAAGCTCCGATTTGTGCTTGCAAACCCAAGAAGATGGTGGTTACTAGCAGCGGCAGTGGTGCAGCAGAGGATGAAGATGAAGAAACTCAAGTTTTCTCGAGATTTTCCACCAATGTTGCACGGTTTTGGTGCAACCCCGATTCCACAATTTTGAGATATTGCATCCCACTTTTTTCTCATCCCATCCCCTTATTTCCCTTGAAACAAATGAGAGAAAAAAGAATATTCCCTTTTTCTCATCCCCATCCCACAAACCAAATGAAGCCTTACATTCTTTTATCTTCCATCATGTTCTAGCTACTTTTCCCCAGGTGGGAATGTTACTTATCCATCTAGGAGTAGGGTATCACTTACCCGAGTAAGTGGATACCCAAGGAAAGTAACTTTTCTTTGGGTCTTGCATGAATCCGCAAAAAAAAGAACTTTGAATTTTTCCTATTGACCAACTTTTCCCCTAACATTTACCAAAAAAAATAAACATACCCTTGGAAATAACCTTTATAGGAGACACATTAGGTTTTAAGAAAGTTGGTTAATGGGAACACCCCTAACATTTACCCAAAAACAAGCATGCCCTTGGAGATAACCTTTATAGAAGATGCATTAGTTTTTAAATAGATAACAAAATGCTTATACAAAGAAATTTGCAAGTCTATTAGATTCAAATATGTAGATTGTAAAACCTTGTATTTTGTATGTATTTGCACTATACATATTTGTATTTGTATTCTTTCTATACTAAGCTATTTTTTGCCTTTGCCTAGAATGATGAAATCACAACATATAAATACTAGATGTTGGATTTATTTCAAAAATTGATATAAGCAAGGGGTAAACAAGAGAAGCGAGTCAGCCACAACCGCGGCATTACACTTAAGTTTTGAGCAAGCAAAGATGTAATAAAGTCAAAGGTAAATTATAGATTAGTATATTGTCCTTTGTGGATAGTCTCATTTTAGTACCAGAACCATAGTTTTCAAAACTGGACCGGACCGGAAAAATTGGGAACCGGTCACCTGACCAGTTTCGTTTTCCCCAAAAACCGGATTTCCCCCAAAACCGTTGATTTTGGTCAACGAACCGCTGAACCGGGCGGTTAACTGTTCGAACGGTTTTGATCATTTTTTATCTTTTTGAATTTTTTTTTCTGTTAGAATGAGCCGAGCATTCGGTTTAAACAGTCAGACCGTTTGACTCAGTAACCGGACCCTTGACCGGTTCGATCACCGAGTTAGTTTTAAAAATCATGACAAAAACTTTAAAACATGCCACTACAATACTTAAGTTTTGAAAAAAAAAAACTATCACTTTAGTCCCTGTTGTTAGCATTCCATCTGTTATTTAAAACTTTAAAAAATGCCATAACTACCATTCTCATTATTTTTAAGAACATTTAATCCTTTTTTTTTCAAAACCATATAAGCTTAGAGTTGTTCCCTATTTTTTATTCAAGATCATGGTACGGGGTTCTTGAGAAAGTTAAGATTTTGATGAAAGAGGTTTTGAATGAAATCAAGTTTAAAATTGCATTCATTTGAAGAACAAATGTGGTTTTTCACCTTGATTTTCTTCTTGGCAATGGCAACAATGATTCATCTTTTTTAGAAATGACAAAAGTTTAAAACTCCCTTCTTCTCATGTGAATAGCCGAAAAAAAGATTAATAAAAAAACCTCTATGTTGTTAGCGATGATAACTAGGGATGACAACAAGATAGGATTGGGGGAGGGTTTTGTAATTTATAGATCCTACCCACCTCCCTAAACCTCTCAATCCATACATGTCCCAAAACCCGTAGTGGTTTGGATTTTGAGAATCCAAACTCTCCCCCAACCCTTCCCTCCCTGCATTCAAGGGTAGGAGCGGGTTGGGTTTAGAGCTCACATCTAATTTCCTATTATTTCTGGTCATATATAACCAATAAATAAGTAAAATAATACAAACAAACAACACAATTTCCAATTATTTGATTAAGACATGTAAAAAGCATATAAACTATCAACTATCATTCACATAAAATTCAAAATATTATTAAACTCAACACCTAATACATAAATAGATATGACAATTTGACCCACCCCCGTGGGGCCCCACCCTACCTCGCCCTAACTATATTATATTATAACATTATATATAACTATTAATATATGTTATATTATATTATAATATTCTAGATTATACTATAATATTATATTACATATTATAATATAGCTCTACGTAGGTTTCAAAAAAAATAAAAGAAATAATTTTGTATGTATACAAGTAGGAATTGATGGGGCAAGGCGGGACAAACTCGGAGATCCTCGTTACCCACAAGGACAAGGATAGGGTTAGGATTTCTAGTCCCGCCAAGTTTTAGGGGTGGGACATTTAAGTTCGATGTCGAGGATGGGGCAGGCAAAACTTGGCCCCACCTTGCCCCATTGCCATTCTTATACATAAAGTTTATATACTTTCCAATAATATGTGGATAAGGGAGGATTGGGTTTAGCCTAATATCATACCCTACTGGTATGTGTATGGATTGTAGAATCCCAAAACCTATCCCCATCCTAAAACGCATCCTCCAAGCAAAAATTTGCCATCCCTAGCAACAACAATGTTCTACATCAATGGGAAATACCAAAAATAATGTGAGGATGGTTAGCTTTACATGATAGATATTGATCGATCAACCTTAAGGGTATTTTTGTCTTTTACCTACCATCTAATGTTGGTTAACAGTACTAACATGTGACACATTTTAGCTGGTGTTTGGAATGGGTGATGGGATCTGCTCCTCACAAATGGGCGCCTCATAGGCACATCCATCGTGCATTGGGAACATCTCCCATAAATTATAACTAATAAGTATGGGATATGTTCCCAATGTATGATAGGATGTGTGTGAGGCGCCTGTGAGGCACTAGGTGTGAGGAGCAGATTTGGTCTCATGGAATGGATGCCTTTTATTTTAAAAACAGTGCCACATCAGCAACATTTCAGAGAACAGTTGTGTATTTTTCCAAACCACGCCTTGTATGTGTTTAAGAAAATACTTTTTTTGGTGTTTTCTCAATTTTACTGTTGTTAGTGTTAGCACCCGATTTTTGCTCGATCTGCCGCCTGAGCCTTCAATTCACCCCAAAACACCCGATCAGACCCATCTGACCTCTTCAAAACACCCAAAAACCCAAAAAACCCAAATTTCACCCTGGGAGCCCTCAGATCCACCGTTAAACTTACCCGATACCTATCCGATAGCCCCGACTGACTCGCACTCACACCTCAACCATTAGATCAAGTACAACCATCAGACCCAGGATCTCTCAAAACACCTACCATTAAAATTTCAACTTAAGTTTCCCCTGTTTACCCTCTCATCAAATGAAGATTCCATTTCGACCTCCTTCATCAGCCTAAACACCTAGAGTCCAGATTACCTTGAACTTGACACACCCGAACCAATCAGACCACACTCCTTTAGACTCCGGACACATTAAAACACATTTCCATGAAGTTTCAACCCTAGATTCCCTCGTTTTTCCCTTCAACAAACCAAGATTCCATTTTGAAACATATCATTGACCCAAACTCCTATGATCTTGACCCTTTAAGACTGGTCAGACCTCATCATCAAATCCCGGACCCCTGTGAAATTTCAGCCCCAAACACCTTCATTTACCCTCGATCACACAAAGATTCTATTTTGAGGCTTTAGATTGACCGGATTCCAAATCTCCCCGATTCAGGTCCAATTGGCCAATCTGACCCCACAATCGACTCAGAATGTTCAAAAACCCCACCCTATGAAATTTCATTCAAAACTACCCCCGTTTGCCGCTTCATCTAAAAAGATTCCATTTCGGCTAATATCACTAGCCCTTACACACAGAACCCCCATCTACAGTAAGACCCATCTCAACCCTCCATTTTCTGACCCAAAATCCCCACCATTGAACAAAAAATCCGGCCTAACCCCTTTGACCCGGTTTGACCAAACTTTTTTAAAATTACCAAAAATTACGAAAATGCCTTCATCTCCATATAAATGCAATGTAATCTTTACATTCGTCCTAATGACAATTGACCTTCTTCCCCTGTTTGAACACATAGGTGGGCGGCGGCGCCAAACTTCCCCATCTCAGGCATCCATCTCGCACAGCTCTCTCCCTCTCTTGTTCTTCTTCTCTTTTTTTTTCCTATGCTTCTTCTTCTCTCCCCTCCGCCCTCTCTCTCATTTTCTCACTGACGCCTCGCCTCTGCAACGAATTGCAGTGGCGGCAGTTCATTTTCCTTCCTCCCACCACCACCGGATCTCTTACTTCTTCTTCTTTTCCTCCTCCTTCATTTCCGAAGGTCCGTTATCACCAATCCCATCACTGGATCTCTCTCCCTTCTCTTTCTTCTCCTCCTCTTCTTCATTTCCGAAGGTCTGTCATCGCCGGATCCCTCCTCCTTCTTCGTTGCAACGGAGCAAGACCGGCAGCAGCTCCGCGTCTGTCAAGAGAAGAGCACCTGAAGTTGAAAAGGGCTGAATCTTCCCTGTTGTCTTTCCTGTTCTCTACATCTGAAGACGACGAAGAAGAGTCAAAGCTCAGCCACCGTCACCTGAACCAGAGTCACTCTGTTGTCGTCGCCTAAGCTCTCTACTGCCTTCGTTTTTTGTTGTTCTCAGCATTCCACCTGAAGTTTCACATCTATCTCTGTGTTCCCTCTGTAATCAGCAATCGGCCATACATACTTAGGTAACTGCAAACCCAACTTTCTTGCTTCTATCAGAGAAGATTAGAGGTGGGAGACACATCGATGGAGTAGGTTCCATTAGATCCACCCCGGTAGATCTGCTCTTCAACCCAATCTGGCCTAAATTTACTATATGCTCTTGTGCTCGTTTGGATAATCCTTTTTTCTGTCTTTTGTTTTGAGATTTAATAGGGATAATGGTCTGATGATGTTAGTTTTGTTCAATTTCAGTTTTGATTCTTGTATGGATATAGGTTTACTTCAGGTTGATGTTTTTTTGTTTTCTTCTTTCCTTCTTCGGTTATTTTCTCAGGCATGATTACAGAGTTTATGTTGGTGTTTGCATTGATAATTGGGATTAATTGGTTTTTGACAGGGATATCAGCCGAATCTACCTAGCTATCTCTGGTTAAATTCATTAAGGGGATTAGCTTCTAATTCCCTTAATGAGCTTTTGCTTAGCCAGCTTAATCTTCTTTTCCATGTAATGAACCTCCTTTTATTAGTTAGTTATCTTTTATTTGTTATATTACTGGTTATTTTTGTTTCATATAGCTTAGGCTAATATTTCTATGTGGGCCCCATCTATTGGACCCGGGAGAGGGGGCCTAACCCCTTCCTTCTCCCATTCGAGACCTATTCGGACTGGTTTAGCCAGTGCTTTGTGTGTTAGAGTCACTATAAAAAAAAATACTCTTTCAAAATTATTCCCGGAGGTCTCATCACCTCCGGTTCCTAAACTGATGGGTGGGACTTTTCTGACACTTACAGTCAACAACATTAATACAGAGGTGAGATATGCTCCTCACACACGAGATGTGCCAGCGAGGTTAGTGTGAGACGCCATGGTGTGAGGAGCAGATCTCTATCCGACATGGCATTGAAAAAGCCTTGCATTCGGAATATCTTCCATGACCGAAGTACATAGATGTTTGTGGTGCAAGGCTGTAAAGGCTGTTCGAAGAAGTGGGATCTGCTCTTGACAAATGGGCGGTTCACAGGCACATCTACCGTGCACGGGAAGATCTCCCGTGTGTAATGACTAATGAGTACGGGAGATGTTCTCAACGCATGGTAGGATGTGCATGTAAGGCGCCTCACAGGCGGCAGGTGTGAAGAGCAGATCCGGTCTCCTGTTCGACGGGTAGAAGCAAACCTTGCACTGACTGAAGCCGATCTCTTGAAAAACTCCTATGTAGTAATGTAGATGCAACATCAAAATTTATTACCTGTTTGCTCAGAAGACAGCTCTCAGTAAACGGCTCCAAACACCGCTCGTTCCGGTAAGTGAGGTTACCCCAAAATTCATATTAAAGCTAATGGTCGTTGGACGGCAGTTAGTTGCTCCTCTTGTTGTTAATTTGTTTCGATTCAGAAACTCGCATCTCTATGGGAATTGGGAAAAGATGAGGCGCCATAAATCCATAATATTGCCAAAGAAGAGAGATTCAATTTGCCAAGCATAATTGATTCTTTTTTCTTCTTGTTGCTCCCCGCCCCTCTCTGAAGGTTGGTGGGTAAAGCCTTACAGAAGATGAAAGGTAAATATCAAAAAATTGCAGGTTCTCATGCTGCCTCCGAGTACTGCAGTCTGCAGGTACAATCCAGTTGTTGTTTGCAGGCCCCTTTTTGGATTTAAAGCTTTTTTCTCTGTTCCCATTAAGTTGTAATAGTTACCTTCCTTCCACTTTAGATTTTCATTAAGTATTGTTCACAAGATGGAGATTCTGTCTTCGAGGAGCTCCGGCGACAACTTATCACACTTGCATGTAACACTTGTGCGATAAACTTAGTGAAGAAAATATTAGATAATGGTATTCTTCAACTCTGCATAAGTGTAAAGATATTGAAGAACCTCATTATCTGAAAACTTGTTTCTTTTGTCCTTGCTAGGCCATCTAAATTCCTCTATTTGCAGCTTCTAAAAAGTAGTTGGAAGTAGGCAATTGACCTGGTGGTTCATATAAATGTTTGGTGCATTCAATTGTTACTCATTCATTTCTCAGAGTCACCTTCTTTGGTGTTTATTCATATAAGTGTACGTTTGAATGTGTATGACGACGCATGTACTTTTCTTACATATTTCTTCCTGTGGGAAGATAAAGCTATATTTTAATTCGTGTGAAAGAGTGGTATGAAAAAGAGGATGTACAGCATTATACAGAATATGGGTTGGAGCCCCATTTCTTGATAACAAAAATTAGGCAAGGATAGAATTATCACTACAAAGAAACCTTTTTGACATCATCCCTTGCAAGATCTTTGGTGATTGAGTTTCACCTTGAAATCTATGTTTTTTGGGATTGAAATAATTGATGAAATAATCTGTTAGCTCATCATAAAATGTGCTAACTTCCATGACCTTGACCACAATTGCTACTCTATCTTATGACATTGGTTGAATCCCTTCAATGGAAAATGAGAAATGGTGTCATTGCTTGCCAATTTGAATGCTTATAAGGAGGGACATCACCTCAGTTTTATTCGAATCTGTATCACCTATGGGACTGCTAAAACCCCATAGGATGTTCCCATCTGCAGTAATGAAAATCCCAACAGCACCTGCTGTCCAACAGTTGCCTAAAGAGCTTCTCGAAGACACAATGGCTGAAGTAAATTCTCTTCAAGTGAAAAGAAACTTGGCACACTAACTGCATTTTGTTTAGGATTACTTGACTATAAATTTTATGAAAGCATGATGTGAAGTTTAGTGAGAACAAAAGGAGAATTTTATTTTTCTCTCATGAATTACTTACAAGACCTATTTTTTTCCTGGGATTTAATGGTTTAACCCTTCAGTTACGCCACTATTTTTTTTCTCTACTACAGTTATTGATCATGTGCACCAGTTGGGAAATGCATCTCAGAAACAAACCCTTCTGTTGGAGTTGTATCTGACTGAGCTTCAGTTTCTAAGGATTTGGTTTCAACAAAAAAGCAGGTATTAGTTCAATTATTTGAGATACTTTACTATTTACATTGAACTTTCTGCAGGACATTTTTTCCTATTCATGATCTTTACTCTCTTAGGCTTCTACATCCATGAATTATGTAAATATTATTTTGGTTGGAATTTCTGATTTCAACCTCCACAACAATGTCTCTTTTGGAGATAAACATGATGCTTAAAAGTGGGTCCAGACTCCAGATTGGTTTCCTATCACTTGTATCTTGTTCTTGTTCATCTTTTGGTGTACACCATTGCTATGGATTCCTCCTAGTTCTAATCTTTATTAAGCCTAAAGTAATATCCTCTCACCTTTCCAGAATACCCGTCTCATCTATAGTTCTGTTGCAATTGGATGGGCTGTGTTAATCTAGGGATTGTAGTCATATCACTTTCCCTCTTTTTGATGGAGGAGAAAACAAGTTTAAAAAAGGATTTTCCCTGAATAAATAATTTTTTGTTTTTTTGGCAGTAAGGGTACTTGCTTATTGTTTATGGAGGGCTATGTGTTGGGTTTCAATTAGTCCAGTTATTAGTAAGCTATGTTTACATTTTCATGGTTGCTAATTGGGTAGTTTAGGAGCTGTTAAATGGAAAAATATTAATTTTGAGTTTTTCACTTTTCCTAGTAAAAGCCTAAGTCCAAGTGCCCATTTGGGAGGGCTTTCAAGCAGTGGCTCCTGGCATTACATGAGCTGAGAAACTTGGAACTCCATGAAGTCATATTTGATAAAAAAACTGGATAGCTGAAAATAGGCTTACATGAGCTGCAAAATCGACTTTCTGGTGAAGCTATCACAGGTAGCTTCTCTGAAGCAGCTCAGTCAATCCAGAAGCCCTCCAAAACGGGCCCTAAGTAGAAGAAGCTAATTATGGATTTTTTATTATCTTTAAGCTATAGAAATACATGGTTGATGTTTGGCCTTTGAGTGAATTCTTATTCTTATTTCTATGGTCAGTGTTTTCCATAAAATCTAGAATAACTCAAGGTGCTCATTGAGTGATTCCAGGCTCTTTTCTCTTTCTTTCTTTCTTTCTTATTTTGTTGGTAATTTTTCTGACTTCAGCATTGATTAGCCATCATTAACTATGGAAAATATCATTATTAGCTTAATTAGAGGATTATTGATCCAGGTACATTCCTACAAAGTCCCAGTTTCCACTTTCATTAGAGAAAGAAATTTATCTCCCTAAGTTGCCCTAGTGAAACATTAGTAAAAGGGAATTGTGGGAACTCAGTTTCTAGAATTTCTTGAGTTCTCTTGATGAGAACAATTTTTTGGCCTTTTGTGCAAAACCAACTCATATTACTCCCTTCTAAACCATCATTACAATTTTCTTGATTTTTCTTTATTTTTAAAGCCTTTAGGGATTTTTGTAGTTTGCTGAAAATTCAACTCAGAACCCTTCTAGATTTAGTTGTCCCCTCCTATTAGCCTTAAATTCCATGTTATATGTATTTCTAAGTCCATTGTCAATCCCTTATCCCTAAACCCTAGACTGAATTCTTTTCAAGAAACAGGTATTACACTCTGGATATCATAACTGCCTACTCCTACATCAATTGGTACAGAACACCTTTTAGCCATTTTTGTGAACTTTCCTAAGCAACCTTAAGTTCCCTGTCCTCAATGACTGCATGTGCACACACTTTTTGCAGCTTTCAAATTGTACCATGTATAGACTATAGAGTATATAGACTTGACAGTGCAAAGATTGATGGTTGATACTCCCTCGTCCACAAAAATACTGAAAATTGGCAATCAAAATTCTGGAATTTATGAAGTTAAAGTTGACAAGTATGTTTAGTAATTATGGCACTCAATGATCTTAAGAATACTAAAAAAAATGATCTTAAGAGTACTATTCTAAGGTCACATGCTATGCACGTGTGCAAATTAAGGGTAAAGATATAAGTTCACATTATAAAATCAAATTTAACTTTATCACCTGCACCAAATCCGAGGCAAATATCCTAGTGTAAGAGCATGTGCTATGCACGTGTGAAAATGAGTATTAACCATATATGATATATGGTATTTGGATTTAACTTTTATGACCTGCATGGAACCTAAGGCAAGCACCCACTTTATATAGTATAGATAGTTGTAGAGAGAACGATAGCAAAATATGTAGTTGATGACAAGATCATTGACTGGATTCAAGTGCATCCAGAAGTTGAAAATGCAAAAAAAAAAAAAAAAAAAATCCGAATCCTCCTTTTGGTCTACCTTGGAGATGCCCACACAAGTTATTATCTAATAATTCTGCTGTTTTTAAAATACTCCTTGCTTTGTAAGAATTGGGCTTGGGTGCTATCTTGTCACCTCTTCCATATTCTGTACCTTATTAGTTTTATTTAATCAATTTCTTTTCTTTTATTATAAAAAGTGTAGCTTATTTACTGGATCCATAGACAATATTTGGATTAGTAATTCCTTAGCAGAAAGTAGGTAATCATCCTCATATTAAATTCTCACGTTCCTTTGATTAGAACCTTAGTAGCCATACAAGTCCCCTAGGGGGGATGTGCCCACTTAAATCCATTTTTTCTCAGAACTAGGAAAGGAACACATTTGAACCATGGTCCATAAAATTCAGAACCACTTTTTACATAGTTGAGAACTGTAACTGCTTCTAAAATATCTCTTGAAATTAGGGGTGATCATGGGCCAGGTTCGAATAGAAATGATGACCCCTACTTGAAAAATGTTTAATCAGGGAATACTTTAAACAGAAAGTGGGTATCAAGTATCCCTGCTTTCCCTCCTTTCACTTGTGCACTGCATGACTGCAAACTGCAATCTAATAAATAAGCTTACCCAAAAGGACATCAGTACCTTTGCTTTTAAACCAAAGCATGGGCAATCTTTTTGTGGTTTAAAAGTAGTGTAACGGCAAGATTTTTTCTGGTTACACCCAGACCTTAATGAGAGCAAAGAACCAATTGAAAACAGAAAACTGGAAAAAAGGACAATCTAGCAGAGAATAGGAGGTGAATAAGATTGGTGGGGGGAGAGTATATTCTTTATCTTTCTTTTTTTTCATACACTATAATGGAGAAAAAGAAGTAGGAATATGTTATAGCTAATCTTTTTTGTTGGGCTTGCAAACAAGGTTTAAATTTTAAAATATCTACTTGTGAAAGAAATTGCATACCTGTGTTTCAAACAGTGGATATTTAACTTAAAAAAAAAATATTCTGATGATTGACAGATAAGCTACTGAGGATGACTTATAACATCTGAACATTCAAAGCCCCTAAACTCTCATTATTTCAAGTATCGGTGACCTTATATGGTACACATAATGCAATGCAATACATATCAATATGTTAAACCTTGTGTTTCAAACAGTGGATATTTAACTTAAAAAAAAATGTTCTGATGATTGACAGATAAGCTACTGAGGATGACTTATAACATCTGAAACATTCAAAGCCCCTAAACTCTCATTATTTCAAGTATCGGTGACCTTATATGGTACACATAATACAATGCAATACATATCAATATGTTAAACCTTGCTTGCAAATAGAAAAAATGTACTCATGAATGATATTTTGCTTTTCTCTTATAGAGTATGTAAATGAATTTATTCATAATAGAAATAATTTATATACAATGTACATATATTACATAGATGCCAGGTGTATATAATGTATATCAGTGCTTTTAACCCGACGTTGACCCGGCCAGTTGAACTGCTCAAATCGTCACCCGATCAAGATTCTAGGTCTGGTTTGAGTAAAACCTGAAGAAAGGTCAAAACCCTTTGACTTGGTAAAAAATCGTTCAACCCGAACGGTTGGACCATTGACCCGGTGACCGGGTCGCGGGTTGCATACTGTGTATGCAAACTTTGGGAGGCCATAACTTTGCACTCTGATGTCCGATTGAGATGATATTTTTTTTTGTAACTTTTTTGAGATCTATGCCTCCCCTTGCCCTGCTATTTGCACAAAAAAACCCTTTTTTGGCCTCAAATTGCAATTTTTAATATTTTTATAAATAAAAAAATTAAAAAACATAAATTAAATATAAAATAATACATAAATCATATCTAAAACATAATTATACATTATTTATTGATAAAATATGTATTTGTACATATATATACATATATACACATATATGTATATAAATATACATATACTTAAAATATGTAGATGCTGACATGGCATAGTCTGACCTGTTCGACCTAGATGGTCGAACTGGTGAGCTGTGACCAGAGGCAAAAATGGTTCGGCCTCTAGGTCGGTTTTTAAAACACTGATGTCTATTGACCTTTGTAAATTTCCCAATGTCTAATTGGACATAGGGTTTAGGAAAATTCAAGAGGGTTTATTGATATACTCAAGGCAGAAGTTCTCTGGTGTTGATAAGGTTGTTGGGGGAAATGACTTACCTTATGTAGGGGCAACATAGGGCTTGGGAAAATCCTAAAGGGTTTATTGATATACTCAAGGCAAAAGTTCTCTAGTGTTGATAAGGTTGAAGGGGGAAATGACTTACCTTATGTAGGGGTTGAAAACCAGGCCTTGGTTGTGGTGAGTCCCCTTGACTTTCGCTCTGAAAGGGTAGGCTACCAAGAGGAGGTATAATAGGACATGGTTAGAAGAGTCAGTCTTATGGAGGGAGAGGTTGAGCTTGACAATGACTTGGGATTAGGACTGCAAGTCGGGCTGGGTTAGGTCGGGTTGTGGCCAACCCTAGCCCAACCCTAACTTCTAAACCCCAACCCTAACCCTAACCCAACCCTAACCCAACCTTAACCCTAACCCTAACTAAACTCCTTCAACCCTAACCCAACCCAACCCGAAGTCAATTTCGGGTTGGGTTGGGCTCGGGTTGGGCCCAACCCAGCCTTCTTCCCATCCCTTAAAACCTCATAGAATTTCTCGATTTTAGATCTTAACTCAACTTTCACTACATATATTAATCCTATATTTCATTAGTATTTGTTTGTTGACGTTTTTTTTTTTTGTTCTTTTGGTACAAAATTCAGAATTAGAAATGACTATAGTTTATTATGAGTTATGACTTACGATAGATCTTTCTTGGGTGGCAAACAACATAGAGGAGATGAAGAATAAAATTTTCAAAAAAACATAAAATAATGTTATTAAGGTTTTATTAGGATTAAGTGAAGTGATTATCTTAAAAAAAATACATGATACTATGTGATGGGGGCTATACAAATATCATGCATCTAAACAAATCAACGTATATTATATATTACATATAACATATATTTATATATTACATGTACTATAAAGTTGGGTCGGGTTGGCTAAGGGGTCAACCCTAACCCAACCCGAAATAAAGTCGCATGAATTTCAACCCTAACCCTAACCTGAACATCAACCCGAGCCAACCCAGCCCAACTTTTTCGGGTTGGGTTCGGGCCAACTCGGCCTAAGTTGCAGCCTTACTTGGGATCACACAATGACTTGAGTCATGGGGGGTAGAGCAGGACGTGGTTAGAAGAGTCGGTGTCATGGAGGAAGAGGTTGAGACTGAGAATACTTTTGAATAACAGAATGGCTTAAGAGCTTCCATGTTGGACACCTATTGACACCTAAGCATTTTCAAGTGTCTGATTGACACTGTCCTGCAGTGCGCATCAGCTCCAAATTGGTTCCCTGCTGAATTGATAATAGCCATCTAGAAATTTAATTTTTTTTAATTAAAAGTGGTTCATTAAAAGGTATGTTTTGAACACCAGGCATGCTCTTTCACGCCAACTTGTTTTGTATGAATAGAGTGGGGAGAAGAAGATTTCTGCCACTAAACTAAAGTTGCCATGTGGAAGATTCCTGTTTGATTTAAATGTCTTTGTTAAACAACCCAAAAGGCAGAACCATTCCCTATTATTTTTAGTGCATCAGTTATTACCTTTTTTTCTACCTGGTCTGATGTTATATGCTGTAAATTCGTAAAATATGAAAAAGAAAATAGCTAGACGGGTTCTCTGAATGCATATGCAGGTGGGCTATTGGTGGAGCTGGTGGTGTTGTTTGGCCAAAATAGAGGAATCAGAAGAGGGGCTTGAGAATTTCCACTCAAGCCTACCATTAGAAAACTGGCATTGAATGCCTTTGCCTCCACTCTCTGGAGGAAAAAAAAAACACTCTGGAAGGGAAATGTGAAATATGGGCTTGTGCAAATATATCAAGCCTACACCAAATAAATGCTTGAACTCGGTAATTATTTTTGGGTTATGTTATGCCATTTGCAGTTGCAAGATTATGTCTGCGTTTCTGGAATCCTCAAATTTCAAATTACAAGATTTGGTGAAACCTGAGTTGCAGACTTTGAATAGATGGTGGCATTTTGAAAAATCCCTGAAACCAAGTTCAGTGGGAAACAAGGTCAACTTGCAAGAACTGCCCAAGTAAGGGGGCCGACTTATCTCTATGAAACAAGCAGGTGCCCTGGCGGTTGACTGGTTTACGTGCATTTGGTTATGAAGTTGAGTAAGGTCATTCATCAATGGGGACCTTATACACAAAGAATAGAGCCCTTTTAGGCACGAAATGGCCTTGGCGCAAAGCAATGTATTAAATATAACTTGAATTTCAGTTACGTCATACGTGGGTCATAACTCATAAGTTTTTCAAATGTATAATAATTTAGTTAAATTTTTTGTTCGCTAATGGAAAGGAACCGAGATGCCTGACTGAAAACTGCAAATTTTGTTGTTTATTCATTTTGATGAAAGGAGGGATCTTGGTGAAATTTAATGAGATAAAGGCAAGTCAACACGAATTTAATGGGATTTGTTTATATTTGGGTGATTTAGAAATTCTTCTTTCAAATGATTCAATGACATTAGAATTTGTGTGACAACACCTGTTCATGATATTTACGCCCTCAAAAATTAGAATTGATGCAGGCCGATTTGCTTCATAACATTCTCCTTTCTGATCTGATTTCATAGATGGGAGACTCGCACTTTTCATTCCTGCCCTCATATCTCCAAGAGTTTCCTTGTGGCTTGCACTTTGTGGTTCTGTGGTCATGTTTCCGAAGATTTTCTGGTTGCATGTACCCAAAGACCTCATGTTTGTTGTAGTAGATCCGAGTTCTCCGGTGTGGATAATCTTGGAAGAGACGTTCAGATGGATCGAAAAGCGGAGACTCTTTCTTAGATGATTCATAGGCTCTCAGACAGTTCTCTATCACTTTGGCTTCCTCTTTGAATCTGTCTCTAACTTCTTTCAGACCCTGCAAGATTTTATTATTGGATTTGGATCTACTCCAGCATCTGGGATCCAATCTTCTAGGCTTTTCAGTATCTGATCTTCCTGGAACATTGCAAGCCCTGTGCAGGCTTTGGTTGCATTCTGGGCAGAAGTTTTTCCATCTCTGAGCGTCGAAAGCTTTTCTTTTTGCTGCATCAGATAGGCATGTGTATGCCTGAAAGATGAATTCTTTCATTAAGGAAGCGAATAAACTTGCATTCTGAACGTGCAAAAGAAAAACCCACCTCTAAAACAAGCTTAAATGCAACTTCAGCCTTGGGGTGTTTGTTCTTGTCCGGATGAAGTTGCAGAGCTGCACAGAAAACAAAACTCACCAGAAAGGAAAAAGAGGACACTGTCTGTACATATTAATTTGACCAAGTAGACCTACCAAGGTTCCGGTATTGCTTCCTAATAACATCTATATCTGCATCTTCTTCGACCTATCGAATGACTCCATAGAAATCCAACCAAGAACTCAAAATGAGCAAGAGAAAGATCGAGATCCATGAGAAGAGACTACGTATAAAGACTTACTTGAAGAAGACGATACCAATCTATGTAGCGGAGGCGACGATGATTACAGCCATTGGAGTGGGTAGAGATGAAGCAGATCTCTGTCACTAACCGTGACTTGAAATCTAAATCCTCTTTCACTATGACCATTTTGCAGAATGGAGTTGGAATGGTCAAGGAGAGAGAATGGAGTTAAAATGGTCAAGGAGAAGCAGAGAAGGAGAGTAAGAGAGAGAGCGAGATGAGCAATTCAGGAAGTTTGGTTTTGCTTGTTCTTTTGATTTTTAAAAGAGAAGAAGAAGGTGGAGCGGTTAAGGTTACAGGGAGATCACTAGTGCATGGTTTGCGGATTAGAATTTGAAAGTGGACGAGTTTCATGGGAACAAGCGAAAACCGGAGAGGCTACCGTTAGGTTTTACACGTGGCATATTCTAGTATGGCTTTGGACCTTCGATTTAATCTATGAAATATTGAAATTCAATTCATTCACGTCTATTTAGTTAACCGATAGATGCGAGTACGATGAAGATTTTGCTGAGTTGTGTCCGGGGACATAGGACACGTAGGTGGTTCCATGGGGCCATAACTTGCCACCTGTCTAATTCTTAGGGAATAAAGACTCGGCATTAGCGATTAGGCCATTAGTTGTATCCCACGATTCTTGACCATCTGATTTTGACCAAGAAGATTCACCATTTCATCATTTCATGGACAGTGCCTTGTTGTATACAAGCAACGCGTGCAGCAAAGCAGGTAGGAGAGTGATAGATTTTCAGAGTCCAGACACGCTCTCTTTTCTTTTTATTTATTTATTTTTAGGGTAAAATATAAAAATTTCCCCTGAGATTTCTATCAATCATAAGAACTTCTACTGAGGTTTCATGTTCACAAAAGCCTCCCCTGCAAACTGCAGTATTGAAAAACCTGCAGTTACTTCTTTTTTGTTACATTAGGATGTGTTTGGTTTCAATGCAAATAAATTTTTAATAGTAGTGCAAATGATTTGGGTGTAAATTTTGATTTATTTTTGCTTCAAAATTTATCTTAGTTTTTTTTTATTATAGTACAGATAAGATAAAATAAGATCTGAAGCAGAAAACAGTAAAACCCAAAACAAAATTAAACCAAAATTTACATTATTTTCATTTGTACTTCTATGCATTTGTACTAGTGCAAATAATAAAATTGTACTGCAATCAAACACAGTCTTAATTTCAAAAGTACCCATTTTACTCAGATAAAAATTTATTAAAATACTCTCAAAAGAAATTTTCACTTTTAATTAAAAAAATACTCAAATTAGATTGAAAAGAATAAAGTAATTTTATTCTATAAATACATTAGGTCATCTAGTAAAAGTTTAGAAGGGAAAATCTGGTATTTTAAATTATATTGAAAGATTCCCTAATAAATTGTAAAGGTAATTTTGTATTTTTGAAGTCTCTATTACCGGGACAAAGATGAAAAGAGAGGTAATTCCAGGTTTTTTATGAAAATGTAGTCTATAGGAAGGTTTTTCCGTTTTATTAAAGTGAAACATCAGGGGAGGTTATTATGATTGTTAGAAACTTGAGGGAAGCTTTTATATTTTATCATATTTTTATTTTCATATAACCACATACGAATTTTCCATATGCTTAGTTCTTTTATAGTGTTTTTTGCTTAGCTGTAAGGAATTAGAAAGGATTTGTACTCCCGTCCCTACAGCAAAGCAAAAGCTTGTCAGCCACCAATCACGGGGGCTATAGGGTGTAGCAGGGTGGCGGTGTGATTAGAGAAAACATCCTTGACTCAGTGTTAAGGAGCTGAGAAAGAGGGGGAAAAATCAAAATTTGGTGCCCACAGAGGCCATGATATCAGCCTTCAGTCCAACTAAATACGTTGAAGTGAAGTTATTTTGTCTTTCAACTTATAATAAGACATGAATAACCAAAGTCAGAAGACTCAACACAACTCAACTTGACCAAATCCGTTCCTTGGTCAAACAATTAATCACCTAATCTTAGCTAACCACGATAGTCTTAATCACCCGAAATCTGCAAGTTGCTAGTCAAGATCCACGTAAGAATGTTTCGGTGCAAATCTTGGTTTTCAAAACCTGACTGGGCCAAACGGTCGGACCAGAAAAAACCAGGAATTGATCAGGTGATCAGTTCTGTTCTACTTCAGAACTGTTATTTTGCCAAAAACCATTGATTTGATCAGCAAACTCTTGACTCAGGCAGTCGAATCGTTTGAACCGTCTAACGGTTTGACCATTTTTTTTTATCAGAATGAGCCATCCATTCGATTCAAACGATTGGACTGTTCGACCCTAGAACTGAACCTTTGACCGATTCGTTGTCCGATTCAATTTTAAAAACCTTGGTGTAAAGTGTTGAGTCTTTTATGATGATATTATAATCATGCATCTTTTCCAAGTATCAAAGTGAAGTGGCTGCCTTTTTCAAGTATCAAAGATTAGACTCTATTTGCGCTGTGAATTTCATTTGTATTTATATAAATGCATGGAAGTGCAAATAGGTTGAATGTAAAATTGTGGTTTAATTTTTTCTCATAATTGACATTGCCTTATTTGTTTGGGAGTAAAATGAAGTGACCCTCGCTTTATATTAAAGAGAATAGAGATAGAAGGAGGATTATTTGTTTGGAATGGTATAGGAAACAAATGATATGTAGTCTCTATATTTCATATGAGAGACAATTGAAGTAGGAGGGAAGCGATGTAAAGTTTACATCAGTTTGTGGGATGTAGAATTTGCACTACCAATAACAAGAAATGCAGATTTGGTATCAAGTAGGAATGCAAATTATAGTTACAAATAAATGGATGCAAAACTGAACCATGTGCAAAATAAGTATACAGTTTAGATTCAACGTAAACAAATAGAACCTCTAGAAATACCAAAAGCTTATAAGCCAAATATCCAACTTGTTTGCTAACAATTTTGGTGTGTTCATTAATTATTTGTGATTGGTCATGTAACCAGGTTTGCACACTTGTATTTGTAGCAAATCTTGTAAGATGGGGAAAATCTTCCCATGAATCTACATCTAAACTACATTAGAAAGTACGAATGCTCACACATGATTTCTGGACTTTTTGATGAATATAAAATACCCTTCCCTCCTATTATTTATTATAGGGGTGAGCTTGGGCTAGTTTAATTAATTCAGTTCCAAAGGTAGAACCTGGAATTGAACCTACCCTCAAGGGGTCCATTCCAGTTTTTCGGACCAAAACGTACCTTGTCAAGATCGATTTTGGCCTTGGCAATTATAGGGTCTCTCTACCCATGGAATCTATTCTCTCTTTACCAAATAAAATGCAACTTATTCTTTCCATGGCATCAAGAACTAAATTAGATACATATGTATGTTGTTGAGATTAATATAGTAATATATGTTAAAGTTATGTTTTGTTAACATTAAAATTTATAAATGTGACATAATTACATAGTCAGAAATTGTGTCACTATCAATATATATCATTGATTAGCAACCATAATCATAAAATGATTAAATTTGATTTTCAATAATAATAATAATAATAATAATAATAGTATAGTTCAAAACTTATATTAACCTTATTAATTATATTGTGAAAGCCCTAGAGAAGGACCCTGTTTTTGTAGAGGACCTTCCTAAAGAAGAACAAGTGATCGTTGTGGTGACTCATGGATGGCTAGAAAGGCGAAGTTGTTCCGGTGATAGAGACGGGGCTCTGGTAATGAGGCGTAGTTCTAGCATCTTGTCAGAAATGTTCCAACGAGAGTTTTCACAAAGAAGATGTTTAGGGAGATGAAGATGGAGGCTGACAACTTGTACAATAGGGGAGATCTAGATGCGAGGACGAGGACAAATTTCTCGTTCAGCATGGCGGTGGTGGTGGCGGTAGGAGTGTGGTCAGAGTATGGACAATCGGAGGTCAAGATAAATGAAAAATTGGTAGTTGTCACATACATTGCTGGGGTGGAAGCGTAAAGAGCTTTTCAACGCAACTGCTTAGTTGGTTCGGATGGGGGAGGAGTTAGAGAAGTTGAGGCATGGGCAAGCCGTTCATGGAAAGAAATTGAAGGGGTTAGAGTGAAGACAATGGTTGACGAGTTCTTCCTCTTCATCTTACCCCCGAGGACCGAAGCAAAGTGAGTTTTCGAGAATAGACCATGGTAGACGGGTAGAAACCTTTTACTACTTGACTGATGGGGGGCAAGCACAGGGTGCTTCTACCCAAAATCTTAGACTGACTTGAGCAGTGCCGAGCCGACTTGTATAAGAGTTTTTGGCCTCCCGTTGATATTATGGTGCCCAAGTATCATGAAAGAAATTGGAGACCGCTATGGAGGATTCATAGAACTGATGGTTCGCCGGTAGAGCTTACTATGTGTGAATGGGTTAAGATGAGAGTGGGAGGGGGTAGTGATATTCCAGAGAAGGTGGAGATTGTTGTGGGAGAGGTAGCATTCTCAATTCACATCTGGTCGCTCCCCTCAGCTCTCGTAGGTGGAGAGAAGAGGGTTTGGGGACTGGAGTTATCTTAAGAGAGGGAGGGGGTGGATCGGAGGTTTCAAGAACGGCGGTCCTTGAGGAGGTAGGGGAGAGTTTCTTCTCAAAAGATAACCAGAGGAGTTCTCCATCAAGTTATCTGCTGGATTAGGAGACATAGGTGGAGAGGTCTCAGCATCGGGTCACTGGAAGGGGAGAGGACAAGGGAAGGGTGGACATTGCTCAAGTGCATTTGATTTTGAAAAATGTGGATGGCCAGGATGAAAGATACAAGGTACTTAGGCACATGTTCAAATTTTAAATAGAGAAAGGGGACAAGAGCTAACACTCGATAAGCTAAATGAAGTAATTATAAAGAGTGTCTTTTGGAATTCCAATGGACCTTGAATCTAGATGGTCAACCAAGAAAAGACTAGGAAATGGGTATGCCTCAGGCGGTTGAGGTGGAGTGGGTAATGGATACCCAAACTTGAAAGGAAGACCCAACTTCACACCCAGATCTATTGGGTACGGGAAATAAAAGCTAGGAAGAATCTAAAGGCCGCGAGCGAACCTCATACTCATATTCGTGGCTCAACTCAAGACATACTAGCTCTATCAGGACCTGGGTGGTTGAGCCTCTTTCTGAAACAAGCGATGGGTGCTCGCCAACCTCTATCTAACCAGAACACCAGTGCATTAGCAGTGGCGAAAAGAAAATTCAAGGATGGTGGCAAGAAGAGATCCTGCACAGATTCACCTTTGTCACCTCCTTCAATAGATTAGATGGAGATAGGGGAAACTAATAAGTTTCCTCTCATGCGGCTAGATGATGGTTGTATGGAGGTGACTCTGATAGTTGTGGCCAACAATGAGGAAGATTTTCCCCTCAAGATGGCACGATTCCTATAATGTCTATT